ACGGAGAGTCAGTATACTACGGCATATTTGCTTATGGGATTCGTTTAGGAGATATTTCTCGATGAGTATACACTGTATGTCTGCTATTGACGAATCATTTTCCCAACAATATATCTCTCAAACTGTCAAATCTTTATCAACTGTCATTCATCAAGCCTCTTTTTTTTATTTCGCTGCCTAAGAAGAATCGATGGCTGACATGAGACTTGTCAGTACGAAGAATTTACATTTATATATAGGAAAGAGAGCATTTAAAGAAAATAATAGAATTGATAAAAGTGAGAGAGTGAGCATGAGGGGGATCAAGAAGTAAGACGAGGACAGGTTAAACACCATGAAAGGAGTGAAGAAACAGGCGGGGGTTAAGATACGTTAGTGATATATACACAGGTTAAAACAAGCATTTTTCGATAACTGTTACATGATTGTTGAATCGTTTAGTCCTAGGAAGAGTCTGAACTTTCTGAATTTCCCCTAGCCATTCATTTCTATGTAAGTTACGGATAAGTTGCTCTGCAAGCAATTCTTCATCTTTTGATTGAGCAAATCCTATAAAATGTTTATTCCAATGTCCCGTATATCTATTAACTAATAAGAATTCGTTGAATATGAACTCGAAGAACTCATTTGGCTAGTGCTGACAATGTGAAGCCCGTTTTACACAAATAGAATAGAAATGCGCTAATTGTCTACGTTGGCATTCAGAGAAAAGGAGGAAAATAGCGAAAAGCCAGGTGAATATGGAGAGAATATATCAGGAGAACAACATCCTATGAAGCTCAGAAGATGTCATTCTATAAATGCGACAGAAGTTTATCATGCCAACTCTTTGGCAAATATTTAGTAAGGATTTATTGATCATTATTGACCTGCACAGTTTTTGACTAATCCAATAGGTGAGGTATTTATAGTATGTACACCATTTTGACCACATCTCAGGTTGAATTTAGGCCTTTCATTCACTCTCCATGCTCTGTCAGACCAGAATACCTCGATTTTTTCGTAATTAATTAGTTGAACCGAAAGTAATGAAAGATTATCAAAGAAAACCTCAAGTCTCCTCTCAAGATTGAGACATTGTTCAGAATATTTATCTCCAATCCGGCTGGCATCAAGACTCTTGAGTTAATTTGAATTCTAATGCGTAGGTGCCTTTTTTTTGTTATTCTGTGCAGTCATTTGTATCAGCGATACCATATGGTAACTATGTTACACACAGACATACATAGATGAATTCTCGTTTCTAGACTTTATCCTTTCAATCTCCGGAAAAATACGTTTTAGTTTAGTTGAGTCTTCTTTTTTCTGTAAATGAGGATAAAATATATTGAATTAATGTTTCGTTTGTTCTTCAAATAAGTTTTTTTATTCTTTAACAAATAAGAGTTTGATGATTTCTCTTCAATGTATAAATTGATTTGTCTAGTTAAATTAAATATTTACAAATTTAATCAAATAAACCAATGATTTCGCTGTTGATTTTTTTCAAAACT